ACAGTACAGTACATTACACCAAGGGTCATGCCATGCTGACTTTTGTCCATCGACATCGTTGTTGTTTACACATCACCATCATCATCATCATCATCATCGTGCTCATCACCATCACAGCAATAACGTTAACATCAACATCTTCGTCATCCTCAAGACCATCTTCGCCACCGCTGCCACCAGCATCACTGCGACCCCGTCTTCATCTTCAAGCCGCCATCCTCATGCATGTTCCTCTGTCGCCACCAAAGTCTGGGTTGCTGTTAAGTTACCATAACGGGTATATTATATGATAAATATATGTGTATATATATATATGCATAAATGTGGTTTGCCCAATATAGTAACTTAGAATACGTTCTTTAACAGCAACCCTGTAATTGTTATGGTTATCCTTGGTTTCCCCGCCCGTCCCGTATAGGTCTTGTCCGGCACCACCACTACGATCAGCGCGTCCTTGTGATCGTCAAGGTCCGTATCATTATCGCCATCGCCGTGGCGATCGTCATTGTTATCATGGGTTACCCTAATACCCCCCTCTATACTACCCCCCTAGGTTCCCCCCTTAATTAAGGTTATTTAGGGATAGCAAAACCTAATTAAAGTTAATTAAGGGAACATAGGGGGGGTAGTGTAGAGGGGGGGGTACTAGTTGAACCCATGATGTTATTGTTTTTGCAATCATGAAGCTTCCCTTCTTCGATGTACCATGGTCCTGAAGATGGCCATCTGCAAGTTTATCATACTAGTATATATGAGCTATAGTCTAAACTCCTTAAGGGGGATTTATATGGGGTTACTGGTCCTGAAGATGGCCATCTGCAAGTTAATCATACTAGTATATATGAGCTATAGTCTAAACTCCTTAAGGGGGATTTATATGGGGTTACTAATTATGGGATTATTATAGGGGTTATTAAGGGGGATACTAGGAGTTCAGACATTGGCTCATATACTAATCATCATCATGGGAGCATCCTTTTCTAGCCGTCTAAGGCCTCAAGGGTTGGAATTTGAGAGCTTGTACCTGCAACCCTGACCCTACAAGATTCCAATTCAAGACGTCCAACGCCTCAAGGGTTGAAACATTGGGAAGCTGAAGACCTAAGCCTCCTAAGTTCCAATTCTGGACGTCTAACCTAAACCCTAAACCCCGAAAGCCTAGACCCCTAAACCCTCAGGCCTCAAAGGTTGCAAATGGATAGCTTGAAGCCTAAAAACTCAAGGTGTAACTTCTGGGGTTTAGGGTTTAGTGCAGATAGGGAAAGCCAGGTTTTGGTCTGTTAACATCTTATGGTTACCATTATAGAAAACTCTATTGGTTCATAATATGAACTGTAGTCTAAACTCCTGAAATGCAGGCTATTCAAGGGGTTATATAGGGGACCATTATAAGAGTTACTACGGGGGATTCTAGGAGTTTAGGAGTTTAGACTACAGCTCATATGCCTACCTGCGGTGTAGGTGGGTCTCTCTTCCAGTCCGAGTACCCCAGATGCGCACAATGCGCTTGCATCAAAGATCTACGAACTTAAGCTCTGAGCCATAGGAGCTATAGTCTGAACTCCTTGAAGGGGGTTTAGAGGATTATATACGGGTTCATGATAGTAGGTAGTCAGGGGATGCTAGGAGTTTAGACTGTGGCTCATAAGAAAATCCCGGGGTCTCCATACTTCAAACTTCGGCTCGAGCCAGTACAGTCCTGTCAGGTTTAGGGGTTTAGTGTCCAGCATTTCTCGGACTAGGTTCTGGCAAGTTCAAGGAAATTTCAGGTAATTATAGTTCCCCCACATATGCTTTATGTGGCCGATATGCGCCACAATTCTGTCCATATAAGCTTCATTCATATGCAAGCCACCTACCTGACTTTAGCTTAGAAGGAGATCCTGGATCAGCTGGGTCAATCAGCCCCTGGCAAGCCACCTCGACCCCGCTCCTCTTCGGAGCACCTCAGCTGCCCAAGTCTTGCAGGGTGGATTTAGGGTTTAGGGTTGATCGATTAGGGTTGAGGGTTTAGCGTTTAGGGATTCGGGTTGAGGGTTTAGGTGGTCAGATAGGTTTATATTGGGTTGTATAGGGTATATAGGGGTTATATAGGGATTATGTAAAAGAAAATGGAAGCGGGTTGAGGGTTTAGGATATGAACCTCCCACCCACTCAAGATTTATAGAATTGTAGTTGAATAGAAGGCGTTGCAGGTCATCTGTATGAAGAGTAGAGGAGTTTCCAAAGGGATGTCCAGGTTCATATACATGAATTCATACGGAAAGCAGAACTAACAAGTAGAAGGGCAATCCAGGGGCAAAGTATGAGATGCAGCAAAGCTTTGAAACAAAACATGACAAGTATGGTTGCAAGGTCTAGGCACATCATAGACCTGCATGGGTATCTCCCAGCCCTCCTAGCCGCGAGAAAGATACTTTTGAGGCAGCCCGCGATAATGCAGCCAAAGGACAGCATTGTGAAAGAAACCCAATTGAAGAGATTCCTGTATGAACAGAGGAGATTGTCTCTAGAAAGTGCACCAACCGATCATGAAGCCGGTAGCGGAATCTACGTATAAGGTACTTTGTGCCCAAGATACAGATTTTTCAAATAAAAGATGAAGTTGAGTGCTTGCGCGCTCACATGTAATCGAGGCTTTGGAATCCAACACGGCAAGGGGAAGTTGCATAATGGCAGGAATTATTTTTATGGAATCCCAATGTGCTTGACTGAATGCATCGGGAGGAATTTCATTAGAAAACCTGAGATGGAAGAAGGGCAGTTGTGCAAAAGTTCACGAGGATGGCAACTCCTGGGAACGCGACTTTTCAACGTGAAGCCGTTTTCTACTGAGTAGGCTTTAGAAGGACATCTTCAGATCCCACGAGGCCTGTCACGCATGCCTCTACATGCATGTTGCCTTCTGGATTGATAGAAAAGTATAAACCAAGAAGACTACAGGGCTTTTGCTGTGAGGGTCATATCATCTCTTACAGTCTTGCCAGGTTGCTACAGACGAACCTGATTTTTAGTATGAAGTTCACATAACCCCCTTAAAAATGCAGAAAGTATGGCCCCAACACAACCCTCAATTGAATCAATGCTGTGCCCGGGGTCCTTCCAGGGTGCAAAACCCGGGGTACAACCCGGAAGCCAGAAACCACAGACCATTTGGGGGGCTCAACCCCTAAACCTTGGGTACTGCCCCCACCCAGTAACGGTCTATATTATGGGTCCTATCAAGGGCTATATATAACCATATTATAAAAAAGTACTAGCTGTTACTGAGGGGGAGCAGTACCCAACCTAAACCCTAGACCATGTTGGGAAAGATCAAGGTGTGGCTATGCTGGCTTTCGCGGACCTTTCGCGGGCGAAGATAGGCTATCGAGCGGCAAAAAGGATTTTTCTTGTATGTAGGTACCCAGTAGTACCACCCTAGGGTTTAGGCTTTAGGCTAGGTCTCCTGATTAAAGCTGAATAGTGGGAAAAAGGGCACCCTTATTATTAAGGGGTTACTGGATTTTTTCTGGTATGTAGCGCCTTGGGGTGCATTCAAGGCTTAGGGTTCAGGGGTGTAGAGTTTAGTATTTAGGGCTCAGTGTTTGATCTCAGGGTGTATGGCAATAGGGTTTGGGGTTAGGATTTTTGGGCCTTTGGGTTGAGGAGTTAGGGTTTGTCGTGTAGAATTTAGGGTTCAGGATGTAGGATGCAGGATTCAGGAGTCAGGGTTTTTAGCATTTAGGGTTCAAGATTCAGGTTTGGGATCTGGGGTGCAGGATTTCGGGGATCCTTGTTTGCAGCCACACAGGGATTGCGGCTTGATCTGTGCCAGAGATGCCTGGACAGGCCCCGCGCCAGTTCATCCTGGGACGGGCATTTTTGGATTGGGGATGCCCTAAACCTAAAACCCTGAAGCCCTAAACGGATGCGCGGATCTGTGAGTGCGGCGCAAGTCCTCCAGCGCTCTTCAGGTGCGCAGTGATAGCGATCGCCGTACAGTTGCTCAAGATGCATAGGGTTCCTGACATAGACCTCAACAGGTCGTTGTCTAGGTCCCTACCCTAAACCTCAGACCCCTAGACCCTAAACCCCCACATTAGTTCATTGTAGAAAGCCTACCCTCTGCAAACTAGCATGGATACCCATGTGGGGCTAGTAGCAATTTCAGGATCCCTTACGCATGTGAGCTATAGTCTAGGGTTTAGGGTTCCTTCAGGGGGATAATATAGGGGATTATTACGGGTTGTATTGTAGGGGCTATTAAGGGGGACAGCTTTGGAAAGGGTATTTTCTGTTCTGCTAAACTACGAATCTTGGCCTAAGACTAGGTAAGGACAATCATCGCGATATCCTACAGTTCCATCTGTTTATGTAAATATATGTACATATGTATATATATATATGTGTGTGTGTATACGTCTAGGACTAGACTTCGGCAACATGCCCACCAACATGCACACCTAGTTTTCAAAACGAGCCACTGGTCGTAACTAAGCATTCACCTCGGTCTTGCGTCCGTGGACCTGAGGCCCGATGTGTCTAAGTACCCAGGGAGTGGGCGTCAGATCTGGAAAACAACCCGAAACCCTCAACACTATAAACCCTGAACCCTAATATTGGGAGCCTCTTCCCCTCAGGGCTGGGGGGCACAAATTAATCAGAAAATGTTACCTCACAGTGGCTACCAAGCTTAGGCTTTAGGGTTTCTGATAGAACTTGAGTTCAAAACAAGAGATGATCGCTACCACGAACCGCAAGCACTGATATAATCAGTCGCTGTTGCCGAAACCCTGTATAACCCCTGTTCCACTATTGATCGATAGATATTTCTATTCATTGTTGTTCTTTTCCTGCATCTGCAGTCTTCGTTTTTAAAAGATTTACGATGAGGATCCAAATAATCCAATGTGGGTAGCATGTACAGATTTTAGGGTCCAATGCAGGTATGCTTTGTACACTTGGATCCCTAGGGTTTCGGATTTAGGTTTTTGGACTGACTTGGCTGCGCAAACGCCATGGCCATGGTGGATTTCTGCCAGGAGGTGTCGGCAGGCACGAAGCACCTCGCGCGGCTGACGTACCTCATGTTTTACCAGCCAATTTCATTTGCCATCAAAGTCTGGGCTCTGGCGGTCTACTATCCTGATTTTGGCTACACAGACTGGGCATTGGCGCGTCAATACCTGTCCATATCACTGGGGTTCATGGGCTGCGGACTGTTGGCTGGCATCTACTGGCGCGACAAGATCTCGGAGTTTGCCTTCTATATATGGGAGGATCCACGCCACAGCAATCGCTTCCTGAAGGGACAAACTTACGGGATCCTAGTTTTCTGCTTGGCTCCTACGCTGCTTTTGGGTTCCTTCAGGCTTTTGACTCAAATTTTGGCGGTGAACGTTACCGGCTTCTTCACGATTTACTTGCCACTTTTGGATGATGCGAACACATTGTGGGTTCTGTTTGCTGTCTACACCATGCTGCTGCTCAGCCGCGTGGTGTCTGAACCCAGCCCAGTTCAGAAGTTTTCCAGGCTGGTCCTTTTGAACAGCGTGCTTGCGTGCCCGCGCAAGCATGCAGAGCTGTTCACAATAGCATGCGGTTTTTGAGGTTACGTGCGCGCACTATCCTCCAAACCACAAAATTCTATGACCTTTGACTGCTAGAGGGGAAAAGAGGATTGGATCCCTGTAGCAGTCCCTGAATCATCTCCAATGATGTAGTAGGTGCTATTTTCTTGTCCATGAATTGATTCTCTCTCAACAGCCAGCACGATGAACACTAGAAGGGCCAGACGCAAGCTTGGCATTGCAAAGATGTTGACACAGCTTCCCTCAAACAATTCGCACACTTTTGGAACTTTAGGGCTTTGGAATAGGTTCAGGGCTTAGGAAACCGTAGCTGATGATCCCTACTTTGTCTAACGGTTGCAGTCCATGGTGAAATTGATGGTAATGCAGACGCCGCGGGAGGAGCTATAAATTCAATCCCCGATATAAGCCCATAACAGTCCTTGTGCAAGTCCTTCCACCTCCCCCTAAATCCTAAACCGAACAAATTACCACTATTCTTCTAGGATATGTCTTTTTTGTGGTTACTCGGCGGTCTGGGAATTAATCCACCTGTGTGTTCAGCGTGCTAAGGGCATTGGAGCCTTGCAGCAACACACATATGGGAGTTTCTGGAAATGGGGGCCATTAGGTACCTCAGGGATACATATGCAATGCAACCGGATTTACTGCGGGTCCCTATGAAGGAGTCCATCGTTGTGTTTTAGAGACTCCCGTGTGACAATCCTGTGCATTGCCCGCTGCCATTGACATGATTTTCAGTAGCTCTATCCCAACACCCACTCACCATCCTGAATTTGGATCATAGCAGCCCGCAGAGTCCTAAACAACGGATCATTGGAGAGTCGATACTAGGAGTTTAGATTATCGCTCATATTGATGACTATAAATCGGATTGGCAGTTATCATTATGAACCCGGGTCGCGTTATTGCTTGCGCTCTTCTGGCATTTTCGGGCTGCTAGCACCTTAGTGGAACTCTATGGGGCGCAAATGCCTAGAGATCGTTTTTTTGGCGAGAGGCTCCCCGCAGGGATCAGCAATGACCGTGTTGGGGTCTCTGAGAAAGTCGCATGTAAGGGGGGAACCTCCTCATGGTAGGGGCGAGACAACGGGTGGGTCTCGGAAACAACTCAGGTGAGTCCCCACACTGTATGTACATGTATGTCTCATACATATATATATATATATGTGACATTTCCCAGAATTAGGGGTCATTTTTTGTGGGTCCCATGAACGAGGATTATAGCAAGTCTGAGTCTACAGCGGGCACTGCCATCAACCCTGGGTCCAAACTACAGGACTGGGGCTTAAGGCTAAGGGTTTATTAAGGTCCTTAAGAGACAATTGAGGAGCTGGATGCTACGCAAGTCCCTGATGCTGTGTGGCCGCTGGCCGGTGTCCAACTGCTTGAGGGGGCTTTGGAACGGCTCCTCATACACGTTTTGGGGTTCAGTGTTTGGTGCCCCACTTCTCTCTGTGTCAGGAGCACTTGCGTGGTTCGCAAATGTGGCGGCCAATACGGACGCTAGGGATAGGTAGGGATTACAGAAGATTACGTGGGTCCCTGTTTGATTTTTACGGGAAGTACTTTGAAAACTCCTGCTTTCAAGAGCTTTTGTTTGCAGCAATATAATGTGGTAGTGGATACCTCGCCTCAATTTTCCCCATAAAACTCAATATACTGGAGTAGTTTCCAGCTTATTTTCCATTGTCCCTATATCCCTAAACCTTTAACCCAAAACGGAAGTGCGAGGTTGTTGTTGCGGATCATCGACGCCCGATTTCGCGGGCCCCTGGCCGGTCAGACGATGTCCAAGTCCAATGGCGAGTCGATTTCTTTCAAGCTAGGCGCAGATGAAAAGTTGCTAGCCGGTGCCTCCACCCGCTCCCTACAGACCTTGAACCAGTTTGTCCTTGGCCGAGAGGGCAGCGATGCCCGCCGCCGACTGCTGATGGTGCAGCGGAGGAGATTAGATCGAAGAGAAGAGGCTATTGGTGCACTCATTTTTTGCCAGAACTGCCGTATGAAGGAGCGGCTCCCGCTAAAAGCCTTGCACCTGATTTTTGATTACATTGACAGCTCGGATCTGCTCGATCACCCAGTAGGTCAGGTTGGTCAGCTGGGGGACTTCGGATCTGTTTCTGACATGTCCAATTTATTCTCACGGTCTGATGCGGGGCTGCAGTTACGGAATTTAAATTAGGTCACCATAGCACGGGCATCTTGTAAACATTAGGGTCTCCTTCTTATAGCGACCCTAAACCCTAAATCCGACATACCCCCATATTATAGTAACTTAGCTTAGGTTCCTTAAACCCTAAAACCCTAAACCCTTAAATCCAAAACCCAAAGCCGAAAACCCTAAACCCTACCTAAACCCCAAAAGTATGAAAAATGAGAGTCCAAAACCCATAATAATAGCCATAAAGGCCATTATTTTACATACTTTTGGGGGTCAGGTAAAGCTCGTTATACGCAGCCACCTAGGATGGTGCCACCTCGGCCACTTCATTGGCACGGCTCCGAAAAGTCACTCAACATCTGCTGGACCACCTCTGAGCAGGGGTTTAGGGTTTAGGGTTTAAGGTTTAGGGTTTAAGGTTTAGGGTGTAGGGTTTAGGGTGCTTGGAGGGTCAGGGGGACTTAGTAAATGGGTTGATAGTGGGGATAGCTACGCATACTATATGGGTTGTAGGGGTTATTAACCTGCTTACTAAGTCTCCTTGACCCTCCAATTAGGGAATAAGGTAATACAACACCTATATAGTCTCTTTTACAACATATTCCTTTCTTCCCTACTAACCCCCTGTAAGTTTTGTTCCCAGACCCGTGGGGGAGGATCTCGAAAGTACAGCTTCATGGTACCTTACACTGTTATAGGGGAATTTCTTGGAAAAGGGGGATGTACTTCCTAAATCCTTCCAGGAGTCTGGGCTTTTACTAGCTGACTTTTGGTTTCACCCGGTACAGACAAGGTCGCAACCGTTTTTTTTTGTGACAGCTGCCTGCGGCAAGCTAGTCAGATGGCGCGCTTGCGCTAGTCGACGGCAGGAGTAGAAATCAGGAACCTGCTTGCCGCTGTGACCTTTCACCGCATTTGGGATACTCGCAGTAAAAGCTACAGCAGAAGTGGCCTGCCGATGCAAGTGCAGCACAGTATGCGCGAAACAACGTGTTCTTCTGAAGTAGGCCCCTACGTAGTTTCCGCGCGAGGGTCCTCAGCTGTTGGTTTTAGGATTTCCGGATGCACTGAGCCAAATTTGTTTCAGAACGGCACTCAACAAGGAATGCAACTGGTTTGCTTTTCAGGATCTTAAAGGAAGTTACAGTAAAAAGGCTATCTATTTACTATATGCTCAGATTATGGTAAGTTAGTGTAAGTTCCTCAACAGCAATCCAGGTACGTCTGCAAGTTTGGTCAGTATCCCAGCAAGGAACTTAGAGACCGAGCCTTGCTATTCTGATCATGGTGCAGGGTGCGGACAGATATATGGTCACGCCCTGGCAGGCTCCCCCCCCCTCCCCTCCCCCCC